GTTTAGTGGTTCTTTACAAAACTAAACATATTCTTACTATTTGTACCGGCCATTGTGCTCCTTAGTATTTACTCAAATGAAATGAAGACTTAGGTTCACAAAAAAACTTAGACACAAATGTCTATATCAGCCTTATGCATAATTGCCAAAATTTGGAAGCAAACAAGATGTTCTTCAGTAGGTGAGTGGATAAATAAACTGTGGTACATGCAATGATGGAATACATTCAGAACTAAAAACAACAACAACAACAACAACAACAACAACGACAAAACTATCAAGCCATGAAAAGACAGGGAGAAAAATTTAATGCATAATACTAAGTGAAAAAAAGCCAATCTAAAAAGGCTATCTTCTGTATAGTTCCAACTACATGGCATTCTAGATGAGGCAAAAGATAAATGAATAGATGGAGCACAGGGGCTTTTTAGGGTAGTGACATTATTCTATATGATACTATCATGATGCGCACATGTAAATATACATTAGTTCCAATTCCCTAGAATGTACAACACCAAGAGTAAACCCTAATGTAAATCATGGACTCTGAGTGATAATGATGCATCATTGCAGATTCATTAACTGTAACAGACGTACCAACCAATGGGGGATGCTCATCATAGGGAAGTTCTACGTGTGCAGGTGCAGGGGTTATATGGGAAATCTCTGTACCTTCCACTCAATTTTTAACCTAACACTGCTTTAAAAAAATAAAGTCTATTTTTTAGAAAAAGATAAAAAGTAACACAGACTCCTGAGACAACAGTATAAACGGTTCTCAGTAAATTAATTTGACTAGTAATAAAACCTGGATAAATAAGACAAAGAACAAATTATGTATTTATAAAAAACACAAGGGATACTCTATAATATAGATCACAAAACAAAAGTGTGTATAAAGATAAAATCCATATATTTATGTGTACTTGCAAACATGTTTAAATATGGGTTTGAATGGATGAGGAGAAAAATACTAAAAATGTAAAGGAGTAAGGATTAAAAGCTAATTATATCCAGGCATATTTCAGTAGGTGGTAGGAATATTGACTCTTTTTGAGCTTGGAAAACTAAATATCAGTAGTTTGCTACTGATCTAATGAGAAAATGACCTAGTGTCACATTTTCTTAGGTAGCAGGAATTTTGTCTACTAAAGAGAAGGGAGAATTATTAAACCCAGTATTAACTTGTAACTGATGCTTCAAAGAAAACTTGTTCTCCTTGCACTGGCAAAATTAAAGGTGTTCTTTTCACAGGCTCTGGGAAATATATTATCACTCTTGTGGGAAATTGATACTGTACTCACAGTAGAAGGATGTACTTTTATGGTAGTCTGTCCAGTGTTAAAGGGGATTTGTCTTAAGCATTCCTCCCTTGATGTTGGTTAACACCAGCATCCTTAGAACATTCTCTGGATAAGGATATACCTTGTGGCCAGTTTTTTGTCTTTTTCTTTAAGCAAATGTAACTGAATAAAAAGTATTGATCCTGTGACTTCACCTCATTAATACCACATTCTAAACAAATAAAAAGTGATTCAGTAAAATAATTCGGAACATAGACTGGGATAGAAAAAGAAAGGCCTTCACATGGTTAGGAAACCCAGTCCCTATTCCTAACATAACCAAATGTGTGAATTATTTTACAAAATGGAGAACTTAAGGCTCACCCACATATTGAACACAAAACAATTGATTCAGTGACTTCCCCATATCAATATTATTACTGTGAAGAATTGCAAGTCATTTCACAAAGGAGACCCCTTTCCATCTGAAAGATGATACATTTTAGCTATTTTTTCTGGAACTTTAGAAAAAAAATGAAAAATATTAAACTCTCAACTATATTGTGAGGAAAAGGGATACATACATTTATTTTGAATTTAATTTGATTGAAGTAGTAGCATTTTAATAGCTTATACTAAAATTTCTTGAATTAACAAGAATTTGTCAAGAGGTGCTGAATCAGAGTACAACCAGAGAACCACAAATACATAAATATTTATATAATTCACATACTCAGTAAATAACTATATTTTGGAGTTGTTATTAATTGCTCATATCCAGTTTTAGCATTTCTTATCTCTGAAAATACCATTTATAATTTACTTGTTTATTCATTATCTTCTTTCCTACACTGCACTGTCTACGAAAGCAAAAAATTATTTAATAATTGGGGTATTTCAAGTATTTAGGGTGTGTCTAGCACATATTGAATGATAAAAAGAATAAATATTACATATATTTGCTTCAGTATTACATGAAGAATGGATATCAATCCTTTGGTCCTTTGATGTGAAATTATTATTTAGGTTTTAGTTGTTTCCTCCTATATTTTTTTTCTATTTTGGAGGATTATTATAGATCTAGGGAAATGAAATTAATATACACCTTAGAGAGAAGTGATTGAATAAGTTCTAAATTGGTAAACATTCCCCAAGACTGTGATTTAACGCAGTTACTGTCCTGCAGGTAGCTTTTAATGGTTCCCATTCTCTGTAATTATTAAAGATCATTACTTTGCCGTTTACATGTTCCTTTCTAATCACTTAAACTTATAGTTCCTGCTTCCTATTCAAGGCATGTGTGTGTGTGTGCCAATATTTGTGTGTGTTGTACAGACTAAATTTAGAAAACATTTTCAGAAATAACAGAACACCTTTTGATAAATATTGAATTAAAGCTGAGTCCTATTTTTTATTAGTTCTTACATTATGATATTTATGTTGTATGTTTGTTTATACAATTTAAAATGATTTACTAAAATAAGAGGATTGTGTTCCTTGAAAAAAATATTGGGAATTAGGCATTTTTACAAAATATAAGCAGCTTTTGTTAAATGTTATTGAACACATAATTGAAATTGTTTTGATGTGCATGCCCTGCGTATAGATTATTATGTTGTTAGTTTGCTTAAATTAAAAAAATAATAATTTTATACAATGGAAAGAATAGGAAACCACTTCCATGTTTCGTTTGTTTTAATTATCCAAATGCTCTAAGACATATTACTGGTTTACTAATCTCTAGTTTGTTACTTTATGAAATGATGCTCATTTTGGTCACCAGAGCAGAAAAGCAAAGACACTACTGACGATGTTTTCCTTATTTAGCAATTTGAGTTGCAGCAGGACTTTACTAACCTGATTTAGAAGATCTACTTCTAAACTTCTAAGTTGAGATGGCTGTGGCTCTTCTGTGCACTGGAAAAAGTACACTATTTTTGGAAATTTACACTAGTCATAACCATTATTTGTTTATTTTAAACTTATTTCTTCAAAATTGATATTGCTCTTCAGAAGATATTTCCCTGATGGGTAGAAAAAAAAAACCCACCTAATTGATTGTACTTTTTAAAATGACATAAACAACCTTAGATAGCATTCTTAATTCAAAGCAAAGATGAAAGAGAAATTGATAATTAGAGATTATCAAGCCATTAACACCAAAATGTGAAAAAAACAAACAAAGAAAATTTATCCAAAAAATATGTTTCAGTGTGGACAGTGTAGAAAATAATACCAAGATCTTGGTAATTCCTAAATAAATAGCATTTTGCTGAAGCACACAGTTTGAGATTACAAACTATCTACTGGCAGGAATAATCTTATAAACTAGATGTAGAGTGAAAGTAAGCATGCTATAAGTGACTGTGAAAAAGAAAAGTAAATCAAACTTTAATTTTGCACTGGTTTATAGTGTGCAAAGTATAGATTAAACAGATACACAAAAGCTAGTCATCTTCAATGGGGACGCAAGAATAAATTCTGGGAAGAAGGATATTAGAAATACAATTTCTGTATCTCTTAATTTTCTCCCATCAAAATGCATAGAGCAACTTCAGCAGATTCCCAACTGAGCAGGGAGCCCCACACAGGGCTTGATCCCACAACCCTGAGATCATGAACCCAGCAGAAAACAAAAGTTGGATGCCCAACTAACTAAGCCATGCAGCACCCCTTAAAATACTTTTCAACTCAAAATAAAGACTGTTCACACATACAAAAAAAAATCATTAGCAATGCAACTACACTAGAAGAAATGTTAAAAGAAGTCCTTTAGGCAGTAGGAGAGTAATGCTTGATGAAAATCTGGATCTGTACAATGAAATGAAAGGCAGAGAAAGTAGTATGAATGTGCGTAAGCATAAAGAATTTTTTCTCTAAATGTCTTTACAAAGTAATTGACTGTTTAAAGAAGAAAGTTTGGGAGAACCTGAGTGGTGCAGTTGGTTGGGCAGTCCACTCTTGGTTTCACCTCAGGTTATGATATTGGGTCATGAGATTGAGCCCTACACAAAGGGCTCCAGAGTCTTGAGATTCTTCCTGCTCCCTCTCCCTCCCCCTCCTCCTTTCCCTCTAACCCCTTTTCCTCCCCCTCCTCACTCTCCCTCTGTCTCTCAAATAAATAAATAAAATCTTAAAAAAAAAAGGGAAGAAGAAAATGCTATGATTTTCAATAAGGCAAGAGAAAGAAGGAGAAAGTAAAAGTATACTACGTGGTTCTTATACTATATATGAAGTGGGGAACTCACATGAAAACAGACTTTAAGTTATATAAAATACTATGAACTATAAAGCAATCATAAAAAAGTATTATAGTTAAAAGCGAATACATAAAATTTCAATCATAATTATTCAAAAGAATGAGAAACGGAGAAAGCATCAAACATTAAAAAAACAAAAATTTGTTAGATTTAAACCCAATAATATCAATAATTATGTTAAATGTAAAAGTTCAAAACACTCCATATTAAAGGCAGAAATTGTGAGATTGTTGAAAAATAGGTTAAAAGTGATGAATGAATGAAAAACACAAACTACAGATTGGAAGAAAATATTTACAAACCATATATCTGACAGTAAATTTGTGTCCAGAATATATTAACAATTCTCAAAACTCAATAGTAAGAAAACAATCTTTTTTTTTTTTTAAAACAAGGAACTGAGTATGTATTACTTTGTGGGTGGAGGAGCTAGAACTCAAACACTTAGAGGCCTCACCTAAGAAGCTCTGCCAGCAACTTGAAGGAGCTTCTCCTCTTGTATCTTCTGTATTCTCTCTCTCTTTTTAATTTTTTTAAATTAACATATAATGTATTATTTGTTTCAGGGGTACAGGTCTGTGATTCATCATTCACAGCACAGCGCTGTGCTATGAATTATGTATCCTCTCTCTGAATTCTTTTGGGTCTTGGTACTGGTCTTCCTTCTCAAGTGTCCACAGCTCCTTCTTGTTCTGTATCATGTAGTCATCAAACCACTCTGTCTGATTAGCAATCCAGAGCATAGTAACAGGGACGATGAGGTGTAATGTTATCTGAAACACTTCCAGCTTCACCCTCACAATGTGGAAACAACCAGATGCTTTATCTTTCAAAGCACCTCAAGGCAGCTTTATCTTCAGATCCTATAAAATTGGAGTAACTTTTTTCTTTGTAGCAAAGGAAAAATTTGAGTGAAAGATGAATATATAAGGAAATGAGAGGTTGCAAATAAGCAAACACATCCACTGAAACAGACAGTCAGCCAAGGTCCCTGTGCTGCTTCTTTTTGTGATGATTTCTCTGGACAGGGAACGGGAGTTGATACAGTGAGGATGAAGATCTATGATAACAAGGCTGTTGTTAGGTTTTCTATAATGTGACTGAAGATAGGAATGGACCAGGGATCAGGACCAATTGGGCCCTGCTATAACCATTATCATATTACTGATGGGGCTTCTTCCATTCTTACTGGCAATAAAAACCGCATTGTTTTTCTTTACTTTTTTTCAACCATAGGCTGACATCACACAGGGATTAGCTGCCAGTATTTTGTACCCACCAGCTCAGGCTTTGTTTGTTTGATTGAATACCTTTTTGTTTAGTTTTGCTTTGGAACATGTCCATTGTTTTTAAGGGGGGGAGTGATGAGGCAAAAGTACCTTTTGCCACATCATATACTAACAGTCAGCAAATAAGTCTGTTACTCAGATGTCAAATCTGTAAAATGGAGGCATAATATATGACCAAATGTTTGCAAATTAAATGAAAATAGTGTATATAAAATAATTCTTACTATGAGTGATATGTAGAAGTACTCTGCTTGTTTGAAATTCTTTCCTTACAGGAAAGTTGACTTTAACCTATAGGTTAAAATCATAGACCCATTCAGAAAATACAAATTTGTTACCTGAAACAATAGTTTAAAAGACCAACCACCACAGGAGTAATTGATCAAATAAACATGGGAAACCTGATTTTCATATATGCTTCAAAGGATCACAATGCACATGAGCATTTTAAAGACTTCTTTCTGCTCTTCCCTAATAAATTCATTTGATTTTGTTAGAGACAGCATTAGCCAAATTTATATGACCTTTGAACATATTTTTCACGTAACACCTTTTAACATCACTACAAATAGGGAATATTTATTAAGAAATGCACCGTTGGAAATTTCTTTTGATTTGTGGGATAGTAAAAGAAAAAAAGAAAAAAAAAGATGGAAATGTATAGGAACATTTTCTGAATAGCTTTCCTTAGCTATAACCTAAAATATTCTTTAGGCTTTTGGAAAAATAGCTTTACATTTCTGGACCTAAGTGCTGTTTCTAAATTAACACTGACTTTAGCACCTTGAGCTAAATCTAAGTTTTCAACTATTTGGTGTTATGTGGTTCTGTGTCCTGTATGACATTGAACTTAAAGATTTAAAAAGCCATCATGGAGAAGATGAATACCAAAAGAATGTAGTAAAATGTTTGTATTTATCTAAAAATTAGCTTGAGGGAAAAAAAATAGTCATACCAATCCCCCAGGTAATGGTATAGAGAAGAAGAACCCAATAAAAAGGTTTTATTGCAAGTAACAAAAAGTATGATTTAGGATCTGAATTGTAAAACGGAGAGGCAAATTCACCTATAGCTTCCCATTTTCCTACTGAGAAAGTGTTCCAGAGGTAAGAGTATGATCCTTGGAATTTATATTCTTATTCTGTCACTTATTGGCTGCTTGACTCTGTTCAAACTTTGTGGCCTGAAATTTATCTTGTGCAAGATGATAAAAATTACCTGACCCTCCTGGGTCAGGTCAAGACTTGAATACAGTATATGACACAGGGCAAACCTTCATAAATGCCAGTTGGATTTCTTTTGTAATGATGTTCAAAATTGCAGCATTATACTAATTACAAATTTTCAATCTAGTCCTCAAATATAAAACAATGACAGTGTATTTGAAAAAAAAACTATACATGACACAATGCCACTCTGACAACAACATTTTAAAGTTTATAGAATTTAAAACAATAATGAATGTTTAGACAGTTAACAAAACTGATAGATATTTCAAAAAACAAATTTTCTTCAAAAATGTAAGAAAGCAGAGATGATTCTAAAGTGCATTGGACCTCTAGATTCATCTGCATATTTGATAAGGTTTAAAAAGGTAATAGTAAATAGTTAAGTCCTGTAGTTTTTATTTTTTAAAATAAGAAATATATGCATATACATCTAATAGACTGCACTCATATGTAAAAGTAAAATCATCCCCTGTTGTAGAACAAAATTTAGAATTTTATAGATTGAGATACATAAGAGTTACATTCTTATATGACAACATATTCCATATTTGAAAACCCAGCATTGTGTAATTCATCTTCCTAAATGATTATTCAGCTTATGGCTGCAGTGAGTTCTTCCTATTGTCTCCAAACCAGGCAGACCTCTTGAAACCATTTTCCAAATTACTTGAGACCTAGGCAAGTTTTATGTTAGATTTTCAGATTTAGAACTGGACACCCTATGGCAACCAATAGGTTATTTAAGCATATTACCATTAAGCTACATGGACATAACAGTTTAAGGATGAGATCTTTTGTTAGATCTCCAAATAACATCCCACAAGTCACTGAGTCAGCCTTCATCATTCTCAGTTTTTCATATGCTTTCTTTTCAGTTTGGAGTATTCTTATTATCTTTTTATTCAAATTCTTAGATCTCTTCTTCCATAGTTTTTAAATTATTATTGTTCAATTACTATTAATCCTATCCTACATTTATCATTTATAATTTTGTATTTTCCACATTGTGATTTTCTATTTAGTTTGTTCACATACTCTCCATTTGCATACTTGATTTATATTTGATTTCCCTTTGCCTTTCCCAGTTGTTCACCCATTATGTTTTTTTTAATTTTAGATTTTTTTTTAATTGTGCTTTCACTGCTACTTCGAATTTCTTATCCTCTAATTCCAACATTTCTGTCATCTCTGGATCTGTGTCTATTAATTGCTTATTATCTTTGTTATCAGGCTCCTTCCTTTTCCTGCTTATCCTCATAGTAACTTTTTATTGTATACTGGACCTTATATATGCTATATTTTGAGTGTCTTGATTTTTTTTTTCTCATTTAGATTTATCTTTTCTTATTAGCACTTAATTTTCTGAAGGATTGGCTTTATTCTGTCAAGGCTTGTTTTAGGTTTCCTTATGGTAGATTTAGAGTAGTCCTACTCGTAAATATAATTTAGTCTTGACTAAATGCCTGATATATTCACCAATGTCTGTTGACTTTGACTACTTCGTTTAGAACTTCTGTTTCTCCCAATACCTTTTGAGTTCAGGATCTTTTGTTAGCTCCCAGTCCTCTCTCCTCCAGAAGCTGTTTTTTTCTAATTTTACGGCATCTGGTTCTCAGCATGCATACACATGTGGTAAAAGACTCAAGGGGATTCTTATGTAAATTTCTAAAATGCCTTTATTCAGTGTTCTCCTCTCTGTTATCTTATGCCACATATTACTGCCACCTCAGCAGCCCCAAAGTGTCATCTTAGCCTCCTCTGTCTAGTGGGATCACAGCTGTCTATAAAGTACTAGAAGACAAAAAGAAACCAATAAACAAAAAACAAGGTGAATATGGATCTCTTCACATTTCCCATATCTCCAGAATCACAACTTTAAGCTAGCTCTCTAATGCCTGAAAATAGATGCTTCATATATTTTAATGTAATTTTATAATTGCCTATGATGGGCAGTTATCAGAAGTCACTCAAACTTTTGAAGTATTGCTAATTTGATATTTTTGTAGAAGAGAAAAATGGAAAATGAAAAACAATATGAATTCCTAAAGTGAAAGTGAAACAAATTGTCCTAAACAGGGTTTCAGGGAGGTTCTATGTCCAATAGCTGAAGAAGAGAGCACAGTACTCTAGACTGAACCTTATCTTTTGGGTAAAGGTAAAGAATGGGTCCTCCAAATGTTTCCTTTAATTAGATAACTTGAACCAAAGTACCTCTGACTTAGATAACAGGATCAACAGCAGGAGTTAAATTATGGAAACCTGTGTTTTTATCTAAGATTTTGAAAAGAAAGTGAGTCCAAATCTTAAAAAAGAAAAATGGGGGGTGCCTGGATAGGTTAGTTGGTTAAGTGTAGGACTCTTGGTTTCTGTTCAGGTCATGTTCTCAAGGTTGTGAGATAGAGTCTTGTGACTGGCTCATGCTCAGCGGGAATTCCACTTAAAGAGCCTCTCCCTCTGTCCCTCCCCCACTCTCTCTCTCAAATAAATAATTGCATCTTTAAAAAAAAAGACAGTGAGCCCTAAAGGAGTAAATAATACAATTATGGATTGTCACCCTACAGCATAGCACCTATTTATATTTTTACGATTGACTTGCTTCATTACATTTATGCATCAACTTCTCTAGTTGTCCATAAATTCTTAAAGAGCATTTGCATTTTGTTATTCATCTAAATATCCCCAATATCTAGTCTATGGCCTGGTATACCAAATACTTTTTAAATGAATGAATGACTGCATTTAGATTTACTTTGTTTCAAGAGAGATGTTAATTTTTTATTTGATGTGAATTTATAATAATGGCTAACATACAGTGAGTGCTACTAATGAGCATGTCATTTTTCTAAATATTTATATTTAACCGATAGTTATACCTTATAATAGTCTTATTAGAAGGGTATACAAGCATAGAGAAGTTAAGTCACTTGCCCAATTTCATGTAGCTATTGAATAATGGGGATGAGATTCAAACTCTAATAGTCTGACACTAAGCTCTTAACCAGTGTGATATGATACTTTTCAAACAAGAGAGCAGGATATATTCATTAAAGAATTCCCATGATAAAAGTTCACTAAAATACTGTGGGGTTTGTGTGTGTGTGTGCGTGTGTGTCCGTGTGTGTGTATGCTGAATGCTAAGATATCCTAAAAAAGATTTTAATGGTGGTAAACATAGAACATTAATATCTGTAGTCCAGTAGCTTGGCAACATCAAACTTATCAAAAAGCAGAGGTTTATGTATGTTCAGAGACCTTGTCTTATGAGTAAAATCTGCTTAATAAAGTAGAAAATGTTTCTGTAGGCAAGAAAGTATTATAAAACCCAAAAACTTGGGATAAGTTGGAAGAAGTGGGAATTATGGGGCAGAAGTCAACTTTAGAATTTATGCTGCCTACTCATCTATTAAGAAAGCAGAACTGTTTGGTGTTTACAAGCTATCAATATTGAGTATATTTTTCTTCACAGTTTTTTTTTCATTTTTACTCTAAAAATTTGAGTCCTTTGGCATTTCCGTTAAAATAATATCTACTTAGAATGGTTTTCTAACAACATCAATAAGTGCCCTTCCTGACTTTAGATTTAGTGTGGAAACACAGAAGCCTACATAGCTTCAAAAATTAAAGTGAATAATTTGACAAATAAACTTTCATCATTCCTGTCATTTTTATGGAATCTAATCTAGTAAAAGAGAATATTGCAACTAAATGACTGACAGGGAAAGTTTCTCTTTTAATTGGCACTGCACAATTTATCAGACTCTGATGTCAGGGATACTCCATTAGGCTGTGAGAAAGTGATTGGTGGGATAACATTCAATTGAAAATCTCTGTGGATGATAGTTCATGCCACCATTATATCAACTTAATGAATGAGACCCAATAGTGTCCTCCTCTTCCTAGAAGGAACACATCCATCATGGAACAAAAGATTCCCCAGGGCCAATACCATGTCATGTTTTCTCTTTTTAGTCTGAGTGAGGACAAAAGGATTTCAGAGTCTAAACTATGGAAAGTACAGCATCCTCATCCCATGGCAAATAATTTCCTGGACTACATAAAATCATTACTTTTATCATATCTAGAAGATTATTCTACATGGATATTACCATACCTCAGGCAAACATAAGACTGTTTCAATGTGTTTTTCTTTGAATAGATGAACAATTTCCTGATTGTGAGGTTTGAAAAACTGCATAAATTCTTAATTGGTGTCATTGCTATGCCTCTTGGCATAGCATCTGAATGTAGCCAATAAAATCTTGAAAATATAATAACCAACCAAAGTCAGCCAAGATACTTCTTACTATTTTTACAGACTTCTGTATCTAGTTCTTATGTTTCTAAGGAAAAAAATAATTGGATGGGGCAGTATTTCCTTTCCATCTCTATTTTTTATTTCATTTCTTTTCTTTCTTTTACTTTTTCATTTCTCCTTTTCCTCTTTGAATTTTTTTCTCCATCTCCTTTACAGCACATAAGAAAACCTCCCAGAGATTATAGGTTTGTGTAAGTATGCTTTATTTTGGAAAAGAAAAAAATGGGCACTTGTTCTTGACAGTGTGATATATGCACTATTACTGTGGCATCTTGATCTGGCCCAGATGAATTTTTTTCCCTTCCACACTCCATATGACATATTTTATATTAGCAATTTTAAGTCACCACACCATCTGTTTTTATCAACATCTATTACACAGATGTACAGTTAGGTGAAAATGTTCACAATCAACTTATCCTGTATCATAGTCAACTATTAATGAGTATTACATTAATATTTACTTTTCCTTTTGTTTTAATCTTTAAATATTTTATTGTTATTACTGCCATTTTGGTTCAAATTTCATTAAGTTCAAATTAATCTTTGATCTCAGTGTTAAAAATGTGTACTCCAAAATTTATGCATTCTATATGATATTCAAAATTATTTTTAGATTTTAACTCTTCAGTACTAGAAAAATATCTGAAAGCATATTTTAAATTCTGACTGGAATGGTTCTACCTAGGGTGGCTCAAGGTTATATTTTTCTGTATTTCATTTTATTCTTATTTTTTAAATTTTTACTGTTGGTAAGCTGTTGTGTCAAGAATCAGAGTTTAATGAAAAATAAACACCACCAGTGGAGTCTTGCCAGAAAAGTTGTTGCTATAATTTCTTAGAATTGATATGAGTTACTGTTATTCAAGCCAACATGATTTCTTTTTTTTTATTTTCATTCCTTTCACTATTCACACAGTACATATATAGTCACATATACAAAGTAGAAATTTCAGGTTTGGATAAAATAAGTTAAAAGGGGAAGTTAAGAACTTTTGGTGGACTTAAATAATTACATTAAACAACATTCAATAAGTATTTTCAATAATTATTGCTTTCAAATTTTGTATTCTCTCAATGACATCATGTAAAACCTATATTGAGCATATACTGTATTCCTATGTATTAACTCCAGGCACTTAGAATTAAAAGATATAGTCCCATCTTTTGAAGTGGTTAGAGTGTAAAAATATATCATACTGAGGGCGGATTTCAAGCATATAATGATCTTTTTCAAATATTTTCAACCATTTTTATAATAATTTCCCTTGCCTAAAGGACTGGCTGGGTCTGATATTTTTTCTACATTTGTCATCACTATTTGTCACATCAGTGAAAAACAATAGATTAAAGCAGGGATTGTTTTGCAAGCAAACTATAACCCTCTGGTCAAACCAGCCACCTATTTTTTTCTTCAGCTTTATTTATTTTTTTAAAGGTTTATTTATTTATTTGACAGAGAGGTAGCAAGAGCAGGAACACAAGCAGGGGGAGAGGGAGAGGGAGAAGCAGGCTTCCCGCTGAGCAGGGAGCCCAATGTGGGACCCGATCACAGGACCCTAGGATCATGACCTGAGCTGAAGGCAGACGCTTAATGACTGAGACACCCAGGTGCCCTTTTTTCAGCTTTATTGAAATATAATTGGCCAATAACATTGTGAATGTTTAAGATATGCAAAGTGATCATTTGATATATGTATATATTGCCAGATGATTACCACATAAGGTTAGTTTACACATCCATCATCTCATATAATTTTTTTTTTTAATTAGTGGTGAGAACATTTAGGATCCACATTCTTTTTTTTAAACATTTAAAAAATCTTTTTATTTTGGAATAATTTTAGGTTTACAGCAAGTTTGAAGATATTACAGAGAATTCTTACATACCCCTTTCCCAGTTTCTCCTATTGTTACCAACTTACATTGCCATAGTACATTCT